ACTTGTGAAATCTAGAATAAATAGTTTTACTCTGATAATCATGATATAGCTTTTAATTTTCACAAAACATACATTTAATTTTGACAAAGTCCTTTTTTGTTGTCTTGTTTTCTGTTACATGTCCTTGGTAAATAAACGTACTATAAATTGAGAGATGAAATTGGCCGGCAAGGCAAAACATATATTGTATTTCTATAAATTAATTTGCTATCTAGGAAAAATAGTTTTATTTAAAGATCTATAGACATATACTCCTTTTATTTTACTTTATGTTCCACAGATAGAATTTTGAGAGTTAATCTTTAATTTATATATCTTTAAATTATTTATTATTGTGATTTATAGTATTTTTAATGATAAACAGAGCAAATGGAAATTTCCAAGTCAAAAGCAGCAGGAGAATTATTGACATGGGATGATCTTCAGAAGATGAAATATTCATGGAATGTGGTATGTGAGGTTTTAAGACTTGCACCACCTCTCCAAGGTGCTTTCAGAGAAGCCATTGTTGATTTCATCTTTAATGGTTTCTCAATTCCTAAAGGATGGAAGGTATGTATTAATAACCACATTAATCTTCATTATAATTTTTTTTATCACAAGAAAACTCGCAACCGCTATTCTTTAGGTGCACACAGGGTAAAACCTTCGCTCCTATGCAATAGCTCGCAATAATCTTCACTACAATTTCTTGTATAATTACTCATCAATTATACTACTCCCTCCATCTCATATTAGATGGACACTTTCTATTTTATACGATAATTAAGAAATTATCAATAAATTAATCAACTTTACTATTTTGCTCTTTGTTCATATTAATTAGTCTCTTGAAAAAACAAATTTAGATCTTCAAAATTTGTTTAAATTTTCAAAGATCATATTAATTGTAGGGATAAAATAAGCAAAAATAATTAATTCTATCCTAATTTAATAAGTGATCAAGTACTCCCCCGTTCCTATTTACATGTCGTCTTGACTAAAATTAAATAGTTAATCCTTAATATTAGTCTTTTCACAAAATCAATACATAAATAACACAATTCTTCCTATTTTACCCTTTGAGAGTTATTAAGCCTTGAAAGTATACATTTTGATCAATATAGAAAAACTAAGTAATTCATATATATATTGGTCAAATTAGTTAATCAAAGTAAATTAATTCATGTTCATTTATTGAAACCTTGACTTCACGAGAATACTAAATAAGGATACAATAGTAAACTTACTTAGTTTCTTAAGGGACGTGAAATCTAAAATGGTTACAGCTAAATAGGAACAGATGGAGTAATATAGGACAAATTTGTTAAGTAAAATGCCATCTAATATGAGATAGAGGGAGTACTCAATTTTTTTAATTAAAGAAACTGAACATTACACACTAGAATAATGTTATGTAAATTATCTAATGTGTGCTATGTATAATTAATAATGCAGCTATATTGGAACTCAAATACAACTCACAGAAATCCAGAATATTTTCCAGAACCACTAAATTTTGATCCATCAAGATTTGAAGGATCAGGACCAGCTCCTTACACATTTGTTCCATTTGGAGGAGGTCCTAGGATGTGTCCTGGAAAAGAGTATGCAAGATTAGAAATACTTGTATTCATGCACCATATTGTCAAAAGGTTTAAGTGGAACAAAGTTATTCATGATGAGAAGATTATTATTGATCCAATGCCTGTTCCTGCCAAGGGTCTTCCAATTAAACTCTACCCTCATCAACTTTATTAGAAAATATAATAATTACTATCACTACAAGAAAAGTTGTGAATTACATGGGGATTTTCCTGGGGATCAGTATGAAAATCTGTAGGAATCTTATTTTCCTGCAAATTTTCATACTAATCCCCAGAAAAATCCCCATGTAATTCACTGTTTTCTTGTAGTGTATATAGAGGCATATGACCTAGTGATTGTGTGATATTGATGGTTACACATATGGATGTTGCTTCAATTTAATGTCATTTTCCCCTTTGTAATATTATTTTTTCAATAGCAACCTAAGTTCCATGGTTTATAAGATGAAATTTTCGACTCGGATCTGTAGTTTTTAATACTCTTAAGTTTCTTAATAGGTAGAATTAAGTGCAGAAAAGAGAACATATATTGTTATAATTTGTATTTGTGGCATGACATTATATAATCGATAGTGTGGGTACAGCCTCTGTTTAACTAAGGAGAGTTGGGAAGAGAAAAAAAAAAACCATCTAAATTTATTTTTAAAATACTAATGTAACCATAACTCCCCATAAGAATTATATTTATTATTAAAAATTAAAATTAATCTAAAAAGATCTTTTTTAAAAATAAATATTTTAAAAAAAAAAACTGTCTAACTACAACGGTTGTGAGAATTCTACAATACTCACATAATCTACACATTTTTTTAATTGTTCTCATCAAATTTAATCTGCTTTTACTATGTTCTATTTTCTCCTTCAATTTCTCTTAGTGGATTCGTTTTCTTTCAATTTTAATACTTTTGGCAGGCCTTTTTGTCTATTGGTGTATTTAGTTGATAAATATTATCACCAAATTTCTTTTCTTTTTTGTTTTTGAATTGTGCTTCCACAACCTTTTTCGTAATTTTTTTTTTAATTTAAGTATTTTTCCGAATTTGTATTGACAAGGTTTGAATTATACTCTGTCAGAGGAAAAATTGAATAAAACTTTTCTGAATTTAGCTAAGAAGGAAAAAACGGCATACTACAATCACATTAGGGGTGTACATTGTCGGGTTGGTTCGGGTTTTTCAAATATCAAACCAAACCATTTGTGTCGGATTTTTAAATTTATAAACCAAACCAAACCAATAAAACTCGGGTTTTTCAACCTCGGGTTTTTTCGGGTTTTTCGGGTTGTTTCGGGTTTTTCCGGTAAAGTATTAATACAAACATATAATTTACTTGTACTTCAAATATTTCTTTAGTCCTACCAAAATACAACTATCTAAGATGTTTCTTAAAAATATAACACAATATAATATGATTAATGACACTAAAATATCCAACAAAATAATAATAATGAAATCGCGTAAAACAAATATTGCAAATTAACAAGTCAATGAAAATTATCATAATTTAAAAGTACTAAATCATGCTAAAATTAAGTTTAATAAGTATTAGTTACATGACTAAATATTAAAGAAAATTAAAATTAGATTATGTATTTTAATTGTCTAAACCAATGTAAAACTAAAGAACAAATATTCAATATTATTGTCATTCTTAGTGTTGAATTGATTTTCCTTTTGCATTAGTATTACTTTGATTTTGATTTAAGCTTTATTATAATTACCAACATCTATGACTATAATCTTTATTGGCCCATTCATAATTCTAAGTTTCAAACTTGAAATAATATATTAAAAAATAAAAACTATGGAAAAGTATAAGAAATACTTAAAAATTATATCAAAGTAAATATTTTTATGTATAAAATAAAATTTTAAAATTATTTATATAAATTCGGGTTGGTTTGGTCTCGGGTTGGTTTTTTTTTAGTTAAAACCAAACCAACCCAAATATAGTCGGGTTTTTTTTTTCAAAATCAAACCAAGTCAAACCAAACCACTAGTCGGGTTTTTTTTTCGAGTTGACTCGGTTTGCGGTTCGATGTGATTTTCGGTTCGGTTTTGTACACCCCTAAATCACATGAACATTACTAATTATTGTACTTTTAAGCTTATACTAAATTTAATTGGAGATGATCTCTATTATAGAGGATCCAAATCCAGCATGAATTGAAATGAAGGCAATGCAACTTGATTTAAATGGCGTATATATTATGAATATAAAAGGGTGTAATTATTAAAATGAAAAATAAGAGAATATGACTTGGAAATCATATATCAAACAAATACGAGGTCTCATTAAATATAGAATATGTAACATTTGTTCACCAATTTATCAGTTGATAGTTCTATATTTAATTATTTTTAAAGTTTTAGCATTATCGACACATTAATTTTTAATTTTATTTTTCACTCGACGTTCGACATCAACATTAGAGTCTGACTAAATTTAGATTAGTATAAAAAAAAATCACATTTGAGGTAAAACACTTCATAATAAATAAGATAAATTATTATGAATACATAAATAGAAGGGAAAAATGACAAATATACCCCGAACTATCGTAAATGGTATGCAGATACCCTCTGTCATACTTTTGGGACATTGGTGCCCCTGCTGTCCAAAAACTAGAGCATATATGTTCTTCACTCTAACGGAAGACTAAATAGGGACACGTGGCGCAATCTAATCCGTCTATCCGATATTTAATAAATATCGGATCGGTGGATAAGATTATGACACGTGTATGTCAGTTAGTATAAAAGGTATATATGCTCTAGTTTTTGGACGGCAGGAATACCAAATATCTCAAAAGTATAACAAAGGGTATTTACGATAGTTCGAGATATATTTATCCTTTTTCCCTAAGTAAAATAAATAAATGCACATATCCTACTTGTCATAATACACATATAAATATTCCTTCCCGCTCAACTTGTATTTCCATTTCAACTTAGCTCTTAATTTCATTCTGTGAGTAAAGCCTTGATATCTCTCTGCTTTCTGGGAAAATGAATCCTTCAGGTTCTTCTTCTTCCAAAAATTTTGAATGTGTGAAATTTGATCATTTTGATAATTGTTCATGTATCTGAAAATCCATTCAAGTCCTTAATGAAGACCAAAGATATCATCTTGGATTGGTAAGAGGAAACATGATCGTGTGAGGAAAGATAACAAAACAGGACTACTATTGATTGGAACGTACAAGATAGGGATGATTTCCTTCTTCGGAATGAAAAATATGATTTAGACTTGGATACTCAGAACGCGTTGAGCCACCATCAAATCGGAATGGGGAAGACTGTTCAAGCCATCGCATTAGTGGAATTACAAAAAGATTCCACTATATTGTCACTACTTCCCTCCCAGTAGCAATAAAATGAACTCTTGTTGTATATATGTCCTGTGATTGCAGCAATGCAATGGTTTCGTGAGATTGAACGTTGCACCACTAGAGGAAGCAACAAAACTCTTGTTTATCATGGCGTCAACATTGAGAATATCAAATGTATCTACAAATTGGCAGAATATGATTTTGTCATTACACTATCGAGCCTGACTGTAGTCCCACACAGGAACTCAAAACATATTGATGATGATGTGTCCAGGAGGAAGTCAGTTCTGCATTCCGTGAAGTGGTATAATTTTGTATGAGGCAAGTCATACATTATGTTATTGTTTTCTTCAATTGTAGTATTTCTTGGTTTCCCAGTACATGGTATTCATTTGCTATTTATGCAATCTTTTTCTTATAAACACCAGCTTTTCAAGTCGATCGTGTTATTAGAGTTGTAAATATGTATGGTGATTATGAAGAAATCTATACCGTTAACTGCTGAATAATATGCTATCAGCTATGATACTTATTAGAATGTGAAGAATCTTATGGCGATTACGAAGAAACCAGTACAGTAGCTGCTGATATTTTATCTGCAATTTTCTTAACTGATTGAACTTCTGTGGCATAGGCTCATTATATCAAATCTGTAGAAAGCTCATTATCCTTATGCTTATTACTTTTGCGAAGATTGTGATCACAGAACACTTGATTTTAGGTAGACATAAAGTTTATATTGTTATCCTTTTGCTTCTCAAACAATGTTACTTCTGAAATAATTTGCGTTGTCTGTTCTTTCATAAATTTGACAGAATCTATAATAAATACTGCCCTTGCGGATGTGCTAGATACTTTCTCTGTTGGAACAAAGTAAGTTAATAATTAGTAATATACATGAGCTTCATCATCATATTGCTGATATAGTAAAGTTGAAACATCTTCTTTTTTTTTTTTAGTATATTGAAATACCTTTAAAGCTGAGATCTAATAATGAGGAGCGTAGAGATGTGATGGTGTTTTTGAAGCACAGAATTCTGGAAAAATTAGTGCTAAAACTTACCAAAAAAGAAAGAGTTGCTGATCTTGCACTCTCCACAAAGACTGTAAGTTTTGTATTGCACTAATGTTGTGTGCTTCAATTCAAAAAGTATCTTCTTATTTGTTACATTTTTTCAGGTTCAGGTTACAACGAGTATAGATTCTTTGGATATTGGTGAATATGAAACCTACAAGACATTGTTCCGTAGAAGTCGAGAACAATTGGATAGGTATGCTATCTCTCTCTGATATTTCATTCGTTTTCTTCACATAAAATTCTCAATCATTTGTGTCATTACCTAGTGAAAAAAGTAAGAAGGAAGCAAGGATATTATTTCTAACTGTATCCTCATTTCGTATTTGGTGTAGTGTCCACGATGGAACTCTGATGAAAAACTATTTTCTCATGTTTCCTATGATAGTACTCCTACGGCAGGTACCAAGACAATTCTTTATAAATGCTTGACATGTGTGGAGTCTCTCCGGATTAGAGTGAAAATGACATTTTGCTCCTTGGATATATAAATTGATAAGAGCAAAGGCTTCCCTTTCTTTACACCAACTCCTCCCGTCATGGGGCTGTTTGTCTCCGACTTTGGTTCTCTTGACCTGTCCCTACTAGTTGTCAAAAAAAATTGGACTAGTGGAAGACGTATCAGACGACTGCTAAAGGCTATTAAACATAGTTGTTTGCTTAAATTATTTTGTGCTAGTCTTTTATTTTGTGAACTTAATTTTGAGGTGACTGCTTTTAGTTTTCTTGTCCTTCTATTATATGAGCTCAAATACAGACACTGGCTTTTCTTTGCTTTTGTCTGAACTTGCCTCGCATAAATGTATTTGCCATTAACAAAATTTGACCAATGTCTTTCTTTAATCGGCAGGTAGTTGATCATCATTACTACGGGTCATTAACAGAATTGGCCAGTGGCAATAAAGAGGCTGGAGATGTTGAACAAGCATGTGACTTATGTCAGGATGCAGTGGAAGATCCAGTAGTGAGTTTGTGCACCTCTACCCACTGCCGACAGCTGAAGTTTAATTTGATAGCTCTCTCCTTTTTGCAATTACTAAATTATGTTGTCCATTCAAGGTCCAAGAACTTCGAGCACCTTTCAATTTCTCATTCAGGCTATATATTGTATGTTGAACCTTCAAATGCCATTTCCTAGTGTTGAACGGTTTTAGATACTTTTTCCTTAAAACAATGTCTGGATCACTTGTTTTCTAGTTCTTCTGTTTTGCTTTGTTTTTCCCTGGAAGTTCTCAAGAAGTGGATTAGCATTTGGGATGCTCTCTTTCCAGCGCCATAGACATTGAGATTTTATCAGATGTACATCTAGTATAAAGTTAATCTATTTTGATTGTTACAGTTTACATCTTGCAGCCACGTGTTTTGCAAGGCATGTTTGATAGATTTTGTTGAAAGTATGGGGAGAATGGCATGCCCTTCATGTACCGAACCCCTCACATTTGACTTCACTGCAAATAATGATAACGGAGATTCTAATTCTGAACCTACTGTCAAGGGGTTTAGCTCCTCCAGTATATTGAACAAAATTCATCGAAATGAATTCAAGACAAGCACTAAATTAGAAGCTTTGGTATGCAATTGCATTCTACATTATCATCATATTCTGCTCAGTTTGCTTTTCTTTTATTGCTATAGTATCTCTATTTTACAGAACCTAAATGCTCATTTTCTTACTTTTATGGAATGTAGAAGAAAGAAATTAGCGTCATGGTTGAAAGGGACAAATCTGCAAAAGGAATAGTTTTTAGCCAGTTTACATCATTTTTGGATCTGATACAACATTCTCTTGATGTAACACATAATGGTTCTTTCTTTCTTCCTACTCCCCTTTCAGACTAACAATTAAGGAAACTTGCATTGTGTGTATTCAGCTGTTGGGCGTCAATTGTGTTCAATTAGTTGGATCCATGTCTGTTACTGCAAGAGATGCTGCAGTCAACAAGTTCACTGAGCATTCAGATTTCAGGATATTGCTTATGAGCTTGAAAGATGGAGGTGTTTCCTATTGAAGATAGTGAGGGTAGTGGAGTAACTTGATCTCACTGTTATTCATTGTTAGAGCTTAGCAGTTAGTTATTGTTAGGTGTAACAAATTCTGTTATTATTGACAGGTGTCAGAATGTGATAGGTTGTGAATGTAGTAGGGTCAAGTATATATGTATGTACATAATGCATTGTAAGTTTAGTTTTTCCAATCAATAAAATCAGTTCACAGATCACATCTCTCTTCTCTCTCAAATTAGATCTTCATTTGTAGTTGTAGATTTCACATTTTGTCATTTCCCTCAATGTTAAAGTTGCATCACATGTAAGGCTTGTGCATATCTAGTGTTCATTTGATATACTCAACTTCATTTCTCGGTGCATTCAAAGAACCAGCTGAAGATACAATTATGACTTGTATTCATCTGTTGAATAAGCACATGATACATGTCATGTTAGGTGGCTAATCTCCTGATCTTTGCTAGGTTTTCTTAATGGATTCATGGTGGAATCCTGCGGTGGAGCAGCAAGCCCAAGATAGAATCCATCGAATATGGCAACATAAACCAGTCAAGTATGTTTCATATTTCGTGCACTTTGGATGCCATTGAATGGAGAGCTTATTGTTGTTTCCAAATTTGCAGGATCATAAGATTTGTGATTGAGGATACAATTGAAGAGAAAATCTTAGAGTTACAAGAGAGGAAGAAATTACTTTTTGAAGGGCAAGTCTTTTTCTTAGATAGTTGGATATGTGTTGTGACTCTAGAAATTATTTTCCTTTGACATACTGAACTTGCAAGTTTCCGATTGCAGGACAGTCGGTGGTTCTCCAGAGGCCTTAGGAAAGCTAACAGATCAGGACTTGGAATCACTGTTTTATTGTCACTTTCGACAAACTAATTAAATGATATATGTTTTGTTTAGCTTGTAGCGAAATTCTGTACACAGTGTTGTGACATTTACCCTTAGGCTGTATGGATTTTGATCAATTGTTCTTATTGTTTCCTTCCATTTTAACTTCACTTGCATGATAAACAAATGCATCAGAATTCATACGTACATGATACTTTTTCTTGGTTATGTACTTAATATTGTTATCATAAACTGCATCATCTGAGAATACTCTCTTTTTCCATTTCCCCGCGATGAGTAAGAGGTAAAACACAGTTTATCAGTCTTGAACGAGCATTCCATAAACTGTAAGCATCTGCTAAACATAGATTAAATAATAAAACTTACTAAGATCTCTAACGTTATACTAAGCATTTATGGTCTGATGTTACATTTTGTTTCTTTTCTACTTTACTGTCAATGAATTGCATATTACAGTATGTTTTAAAGCAAACTAATGAAGCACCAGATTTGATTTTAGTTCTATTTCAGGAAAATCATCAATAAACAAAATAAATTGAAACAAGTACCAAAGAACGCGATACATATTAGCAAATCATTCATACCAAAATACATACACATACAGATAACATAGTATTCATGTAGGATCATCAAGAGTTACATAAAAATAAAGATCTTTATAAAACAAATTGAATCTCAATATCATTTTTTGATAAGTTAATATAGTATTCATGTAGGATCATCAAGAGTTACAGAGTTTGCAAAAAGGACAGCCATTGTAATGCACCTTGGCCTATTGGTGTTAGTTACTATGGTTGGTATTCGTGAGCCCATCAGCTCGTGAGAAGATGCACAAAAATAGTGTTGCTCATATCATGAACAATGATTCAACTAGGAAGCTTCTGCATTCTGTTAGAAGACTAGTGACATTCTGCCAGCGACGCTACCCAACTATGCCATTGCCATCCAATTCTGTGAAGTTCAATAGCCTTGCAAATGACAGTGACTTGCATTCTCTGCGTGCACGAGAGGTAACTTCTCAAATCTCACAAGAAAGGCTTCAAATAATGCCTATGTCTGCACAAGCTAAGGGTTTAATTTGCCTTTGAACTCTGTCAGTATGTATGCTGAATCTTTTTATCAATAATGTCTATAATTTACTTTTCTCCTTCAAGTTAAAACCTAGCCTATCAAAATCCTATTATCAAGTTTTTTTTGCTTCTTAACAATTCAAACCAACTAAATTAAAGAAAGAAGATCAGACACAAACAATTTAGAAATCCACAGAACAAATACATATAGGTTATCAGTGAATCTATATATGTATTATTTTAGGATAGAAGGCAGGAGTGGAATAACTAATACATGAATAATTAGTGTCGGCATAAAATAATACATAAATTCACTTACATTACTAATACTTACATAACTATAACCAGCTATGTACCAAACGACGTGCAAACAAAACAATACTAATCGAGCCTTCGGATTAATATCCAGCTCATTTGCCATGTCAGCAAGTACTCGAAGTTAGATCGGTACAACTAACTCATTATAATATCACAATAGTTTTGTTAGTTAGAGTTTATGGCTGTAAAATGAAATTTGTAGTGAACAGTTAGTTTTTTCTCTTTTTATATAAAGGTTGGCAAACAACTTTTCCACGTGAATGTTTAGTTGAAAATAACATAAACTGGTTTTCTTTGTGAAGAAATGGACACTAACTGATTTTTTTGAAATTATATTTGAAAAAAACGACACACTTATTTTTCAACTAGATATAGGACCCCGTGCCAGCACGGGGCCCAATATATATATTTTTTATTATTTTAATTTATGTCATATTATGGAATTTGAGAAGTTATTGAAATTTTTATATGATTTTTAAAATATTTTAAATTTTTAGCTATTGTGATTTGTAGTACTTTTTTTTAACATAATTTTGAAAAAAATATTTATTACTCTGTTTGTTCTAATTTTGTGGCACACGCAGAATTTCAAATATTAAGCATTTTTATATGTCTCTTTAATATATTAAGTCGTTAATTATTGTATTTTATTGTACATTTTGAACCTAATTTTTTAATAATATATGTTATTTGCCATGTCCCAATTTATGTGGCATTAATTGATAGATTTGTTGGAGTTGAGAGATTTATTTTTTAAATTATTGTAATTTATAGTTTTTTTTTCCGTCAATTTCAAACAATATATGTTGTTAATTGATAGAATACTTTTAATGTAATTTTTTTTTAAAAATATGTGTGACTCTCCATGTCCCAATTTATGTGGCACATGTAAAGTTTTGACAATTAACCAAAATTTTAATACATTTAAAAAAATATTTTTAAGTCGTTAAATTTTAAGTAATAAGTAATTTAAATTGTTGTATTATTTATTACAATTTATAATACTTTTAAAGTAGTTAAAATATTGTACTATTTATTATGATTTATAACACTTTTTTTTTTTAATTTATGTCATATTATGGAATTTGAGAAGTTATTGAAATTTTTATATGATTTTTAAAATATTTTAAATTTTTAGCTATTGTGATTTGTAGTACTTTTTTTAACATAATTTTGAAAATAATATTTATTAATCTATTTGTTCTAATTTATGTGGCAGATGCAGAATTTCAAATATTAACCCTTTTTTATATGTCTCTTTAATATATTAAGTTGTTAATTATTGTATTTTATAGTACATTTTGAACCTAATTTTTTAATAATATATGTTATTTGTCATGTCCCAATTTATGTGGCATTAATTGATAGATTTGTTGGAGTCGAGAGATTTATTTTGTTAATTATTGTAATTTATAATTCGTTTTTCGTCAATTTCGTTGACTATTTTTTTTATTAATTATTGTAATTTATTGTTTCTTTTTCGTCAATTTCAAACAATATATGTTTATCATATAATCCATTTTATGTGGTACCAATAGAATTTAGAGAGTCAATTAAATTTTGTATATAAGTTTTAAATAATTAAGCTGTTAATTATTGTAATGTATAGTATTACTTATAGTATTTTTAAATATATTTAAATATTATATGTTAGGTTTTTTATCTTAAGTTATATGGCATTGATAGAATTTAAAGTGTCAAATAATTGTTAATTATTGTAATAGATAATATGGAGTATTTAAGTCATTTATAGTATAGTATAATTAATATATGATATGTAGTATTTAAGTGTTATATTATGGAATTTGAGAAGTTATTGAAATTTTTATATGATTTTAAAAATATTTTAAATTGTTAGCTATTGTGATTTGTAGTACTTTTTTTTTACATAATTTTGAAAATAATATTTATTACTCTATTTGTTCTAATTTTGTGGCACACGCAGAATTTCAAATATTAACCATTTTTTATATGTCTCTTTAATATATTAAGTTGTTAATTATTGTATTTTATAGAGTACATTTTGAACCTAATTTTTTAATAATATCTGTTATTTGCCATGTCCCAATTTATGTGGCATTAATTGATAGATTTGTTGGAGTCGAGAGATTTATTTTGTTAATTATTGTAATTTATAGTTTTTTTTTCGTCAATTTCAAACAATATATGTTGTTAATTGATAGAATACTTTTAATGTAATTTTTAAAAAAAAATATGTGTGACTGTCCATGTCCCAATTTATGTGGCACATGTAAAGTTTTGACAATTAACCAAAATTTTAATACATTTTAAAAAATATTTTTAAGTCGTTAAATTTTAAGTAATTTAAATTGTTGTATTATTTATTACAATTTATAATGCTTTTAAAGTAGTTAAAATATTGTACTATTTATTATGATTTATAACACTTTTTTTTAAAATTTATGTCATATTATGGAATTTGAGAAGTTATTGAAATTTTTATATGATTTTAAAAATATTTTAAATTGTTAGCTATTGTGATTTGTAGTGCTTTTTTTTAACATAATTTTGAAAGTAATATTTATTACTCTATTTGTTCTAATTTATGTGGCACATGCAGAATTTTAAATATTAACCCTCTTTTATGTCTCTTTAATATATTAAGTTGTTAATTATTGTATTTTTTAGTACATTTTGAACCTAATTTTTTAATACTATATGTTATTTGCCATGTCCCAATTTATGTGACATTAATTGATAGATTTGTTTTGTTAATTATTGTAATTTATAGTTTCTTTTTCGTCAATTTCAAACAATATATGTTGTTAATTGATAGATTTTTTGGAGTGGACTATTTTTTTATTAATTATTGTAATGTATTGTTTCTTTTTCGTCAATTTCAAACAATATATGTTTATTATATAATCTATTTTATGTGGTACCAATAGAATTTAGAGAGTCAATTAAATTTTTTATATAAGTTTTAAATAATTAAGCTGTTAATTATTGTAATGTATAGTATTCATTATAGTATTTTTAAGTATATTTAAATATTATATGTTAGATTTTTTATCCTAATTTATATGGCATTGCTAGAATTTAAAGTGTCAAATAATTGTTAATTATTGTAATAGATAATATGGAGTATTTAAGTCATTTATAGTATAGTAATTAATATATAATATGTAGTATTTAAGTGTTATATTATGGAATTTGAGAAGTTATTGAAATTTTTATATGATTTTAAAAATATTTTAAATTCATAACTATATATTTCAATGTACAAGATTTTGATAAAATAAAATCTTTAAAGTTAAATTATAATGTTTTTGAAATTTAAATTATTAAAACATATATAATGATTTTATAGAAAAAATAATATCATATAAAATTAAATGAAAAGGATAATAAATTCAACTTTTACCATGATAAGGTTGAAAAATATTATTTAAGTGGAAGGAGGTGGGGCCCACTTATATATTTTATATAGTAAGTATTGGACATTTGTAATGATTTAATTGGGACAATGGTAGTAAATCCTAGAGTCTTCTAATATATAGTAATACAGAAAAACTATAAAAAGGAATTATAATTTTTTTTTAGAAAAAAAAAAATCAGCGAATTGGGCTCTATATAAGCAAGTCCTTCCCGCTCAACTTTCAACTTAGCTCTTAATTTCATTGTGTGTGTAAAGCCCTGATTTCTCTCTGGTTTGTGGGAAAATGAATCCTTCAGGTTCTTCTTCTCTTTCAAAAATCTTGAATTTCTTGAATCATTTTGAAAGTTTACATTCATATATTTTTCTAATTTATTTGTAATTTGATAATTGTTCATGTATCTGAAATTGCATTCAACTCAGACCAAAGAAATTATCATCGATTGAAGAAAAGGACAGATAAGAGGAAACATGATCGAAAGAGGAAACAAAAGGAAAGAGGAAATATTTTGATATGGGAGTTAGTGGAACAAACAATGGATGAATTCCTTTTTAAGAAACATTCAGATGATCTAGACTTGGGTAATCAGAACGCGGAATCGCTTTCTGAAACTGTTGAGCCACCATCAAATTTCATCTTGCCATTATTGAGGTACCAAAAGGAGTGGTTAGCTTGGTCATTAAACCAAGAAAACTCTCAAATCAAAGGGGGTATTCTACTGATGAAACAGGAATGGGGAAGACTATTCAAGCCATTGCTCTCGTGCTTGCTCAACGCGAATTACAAAAAGATTCCTTGTCATATTCACCTGAGCAACTCCTCCCAGTAGTAAAAGGAACTCTTGTTGTATGTCCTGTGATTGCAGCAATGCAATGGTTTCGCGAGATTGAACGTTGCACCACTAGAGGAAGCAATAAAACTTTTGTTTATCATGGTGCCAAAATGGAGAAATGTATGTACAAACTGGAGGAATATGATTTTGTCATTACTACGTACCCCACTATCGAGGCTGACTATATGCCCAAACTGTCAAAGAAGGGCGGCAAGAACTCAAAAAAGCGCAGCAGGAACTCAAAACCTGCTGATGATGATGTGTCCAGGTTGAAGTCAATTCTGCATTCGGAGAAGTGGAATCGTATAATATTGGATGAGGCAAGTCATATGTTATGTTGTTGTATTCTTCAATTGGCGTTCTCTATCTGTACATCGTGTTCTTTTTCTGTTTATGCAATTTTTTTTGTATAAATACCAGTTCTTCACATATGTGATTGGACTCGTAAATATGGATATTAGTATGGTGATTATGAAGAAACCTATACCGTTAACTGCTGAATAATATGCTATTAGACTGAAGAATCTTATAATGGTTACGAAGAACCTGTACTGTTAAATGCTGAATAATCTTTGGTGGTAACACATGAACTCCTAAAGTTCGTATGACACAAGATATTTTATCTGCAATTTTCTTAACTGATTGAACTTCTGTGGCATAGGCTCATTATATCCAATCTGTAGACAGCAACGCCACAAAAGCGGTTCTTGCTTTAGAATCTACATATAAGTGGGCCTTAACTGGTGCACACCTGCAAATTGAAGTATTGTACCCATTAGTAAGTTAACTTCTGCAAGTTTAACTACATTTTCTTTACTTCCTATAGTTGTGAAGTTGATCAAATTTTTTACTTCTATACAGGTCCGTTTCTTAAGAGCTGATCCTTATGCTTATTACTTTTGCGAAGATTGTGATGGCAAAGGACTTGATTTTAGGTAGACATAAAGTTTATATATATTGTTATCCTTTTGCTTCTCAAACAATGTTACTTCTGAAATATCTTGTGTTGCCTGTTCGTTGATAAATTCGACAGATTCTCTAATCCAATGTGCCCCCACAATTGTGCTCGATACTTTCACTGGTGGAAAAAAGTAAGTTAACAATTAGTAATATACATGAGCTTCATCATCATATTGCTGATATAGTAAAGTTGAAGCATCTTCTTTTTTTTTTTCTAGTATATTGAAATACCTGTAAAGCCGATATATGATGAGGAGGGTAGAGATGCGATGGTGTTGTTGAATCACAGAATTCTGAAAAATATAATGCTAGAACGTACCAAAAAAGAAAGAGTTGCTGATCTTGCACTTCCAACAAAGACTGTAAGTTCTGTATTGCAGTAGTGTTGTGTGCTTAAATTTGAAAAGAATCTTCTTACTGGTTACCTTTTTGGGGTTTAGGTTAGAACGAGGAAAGTTTCTTTGGATACTGATGTATATAAAACCTACAAGTCATTGTTCCGTAGAAGTCGAGAACAATTCTATAGGTATACTATCTCTCTGACATTTCATGTTCAAACTCGACCACTTCATCCTTCAAGTCACCTTTACTTGTCTCTGATAAAAATCTATTTTCATATTTGGTGCAGTGTCCATGCTGGAACTCTGATGAAAAACTATTTTCACATGTTTGCTACTATCGTACGCCTACGGCAGGTACCAAGACAATGCTTTATAAATGCTTGTCATGTGTGGATCACTGGATAAAATACTTGTGTGAAGTTTCTCCGGATTAGATTGAAAATGGCATTTTACTCCTTGGATTTATAAACTGATAAGAGCAAAGGCTTTTAGTTTTCTTGTCCTATTATATGAACTCAAATACAGACACTGACTTTTCTTTGCTTTTGTCTGAACTTGCCTCGCATAAATGTGTTTGTTTTACTACGGTTCATTAACAAAATTTGACCAATGTCTTTCTTTAATTGACAGGTAGTTGATCATCCTTACCTTGTAGCTTGTGGCAATAAAGAGGCTGGAGATGTTGAACAAGCATGTGACTTATGTCAGGATGCAGTGGAAGATCCAGTAGTGAGTTTGTGCACCTCTACCCACTGCCGACAGCTGAAGTTTAATTTGATAGCTCTCTCCTTTTGGCAATTATTAAATTATGTTGTCCATTCAAGGTCCAAGAACTTCGAGCACCTTTCAATTTCTCATTGTCAGCCTATCTATTGTATGTTGAACCTTCAAATGCCATTTACTTGTGTTGAACAGTTTTAAATACTTCTAGTATAAAGTCTTTATCTTTTCTGAACTGTTCATCTCTTTTGATTGTTTCAGGTTACATCTTGCAGCCACGTATTTTGCAAGGCATGTTTGATAGATTTTGCTGAAAGTACGGAGAGGATGGCATGCCCTTCATGTACCGAACCCCTTACATTTGAGTTCACTGTGAATAATGATAAGGGAGATTCTAATTCTGAACCTACTGGCAAAGGGTTTAGCTCCTCAAGTATATCGAAAAAAAATCAGCTAAATGAATTCAAGACAAGCACTAAATTAGAAGCTTTGGTATGCAATTGCATTCTACATTATCATATTCTCCTCAGCTTTGTTTTTCTTGTATTGCTATATATCTCTATTTTATAGTACGAAACTCCATCTTGAGTTTCAAAGTGAGGGGGTCTGCTACTTACATGCTTGATGCTCATTTTTTACTTTTATGGAATGTAGAAGGAAGAAATTAGCATCATGGTTGAAAGGGACGGTTCTGCAAAAGGAGTAGTTTTTAGCCAGTTCACATCGTTTTTGGATCTGATACAACGTTCTCTTAATGTAAGACATAATGGTACTTTCTCCCTTCTTACTTTCCCTTTCAGACTAACAATTAAGGGAACTTGCATTGTCTGTATTCAGCTGTCGGGCGTCAATTGTGTTCAATTAGTTGGATCCATATCTATTACTGCAAGAGATGCTGCAGTTGACAAATTCAATAAGGATTCAGATTGCAGGATACTGCTTATGAGCTTGAAAGATGGAGGCATTGCCCTTGATGTTAAAGTTGTATCACATGTAAGGATTCATTTTCTTACAATTATGACTTGTATTTATCCGTTGAATAAGCACATGATACATGTCATGTTAGGTGCCTCATCTCTTCATCTTTGCTAGGTTTTCATAATGGATACTTGGTGGAATCCTGCGGTGGAGCAGCAAGCCCAAGATAGAATCCGTCGAATAGGGCAACAAAAACCAGTCAAGTATGTTCCGTATTTCGTGCACTTTGGAGCCATTGAATGGAGCTTAGCTTATTGTTGTTTTCAAATTTGCAGGATTGTGAGATTTATGACTAAGAATACAATTGAAGAGAAAATCTTAGAGTTACAAGAGGAGAAGAAATTACGTTTTGAAGGGCAAGTGTCTTTTTCTTACAGTCGTCTAGATATATAGTTACATATGTGTTGTGACAGAAAGATAGTTACCATACTGAACTTGCAAGTTTCCGATTGCAGGACAGTTGGTGGTTCTTCAAAGGCCTTTGGAAAGCTAAAAGGGAAGGACTTGAAATCCCTTCTTAATTGTCACTTTTGAGTTTTGATATGTTCTATCTCTTCAGTTTGACAAATTAATTTTGTACAAAGTGTTGTGACATTTGCCCTTAGGCTGTATGGATTTCGATCTGTCGAAAGAGTTAATTTTCTGTTGCTTCTGCATCACCTTCAACAGTCATTAGCTTCATCAATAGTTAAATTGTTTCCTTTTCATTTAACTTCAATAAACTTCACCAAAACAGGTTCCAAATTTCTGCTTGGATAGACTTGTTAGTGTCAGCAATACCAATTACTTTAACAAAAGTTGAAAGAGGAGGATTAGGTAGATATCCTTTCACAGGTAGATGTTTTTCATCTGTGGAATTTTCAACGACTTTATCACCGTCAGATTTCTTAAATTGTGCAAGCCTCTTTCCGACATGCTCCTTGGAAACTCAGCATTGACAAAGACTGCAGGATTTAAGGTGTTCATCAGTATTCAGTACAGTAGCATCTCTTAAGACAGCAGCTTCTTACATGTACTAGCGAAGAAATACTATAATTTTACATAAAAATAGAGAAGTTTATAAAACAAATTGAATCTCAATAAAACTGAGGATCTTTCCATAAGTTGGTGAGTTTTCAATAGTGATTAGATTAGCATCCATGTAGATGGATTGGATAAATTATTGAAGTTGGAACAGCACATATGAGTATGGATTTGAAAGCCACAAACTACTTAATCCGCATGCTAGACTGATCATCTGCAATGCTTCATATACACAAACTACTTGTACCATGTAGATAACTACTCTTCGTCAGTAGACCTTGGTAACTACATTCAAATATTCTTGGAAATTGTTCCCATTTGGACCACTTGTGCTTTCTGATGTGATAGTTCCAAGACTTCTTTCATCCATCCGTTTTGGCACAGCTTTCCTGCTTCGCGCACATTCATCTGCAAATGATTTTTGGAAGCTACTTGTCAGCACACTCAAAGTTGTGAATTCATTTCATAATAAAACTAGATATTCTGGTGCAAAAGATTTGTCACTCACATCACCTCTACAAAGATTAGAACTATACAGATTACAAAGTTCTTTGCAAAACTCTTTCTGCCCACAAGAATATAATCCAGTTCTATTACAAACAGGGGAAATATGTGTTGTCTGTATGCAGTTCTGTTCTCAAATACCATGTTCCCATTTTGCACTGCAAAAATAATCCACATCCAAAAGGCTGAAACCTGTTAAAATTACTTAAAAGTAATCCAGATATAGAGGTTATGTTAGGGATGCGTTGGAAGTCATTAATTCAAGTATTTAATTATATTTTGAGTTGCTTTATTTATTATTCTAGAATAAGGCTTAGTTTCAGAGTTTCATAAGGATTAGGTTAAGTTATAGTTATTAGTTTGGAATAGGATTTAGGTCTCCTACTTTCATAAGAATTAGACTTCCTATTGATGTAATAAGACTCCTATTTAAAGGGGCTTTTGATAAATAAATCAGTAAGTCATAATTCAGCAAAAAGCAGGAGATTAGAGTTCTCTCTTCCATTGAACTCTAAGGTTTCAGTCTCCCTTTGAAGAGCTGAAGAGATCAGAGTTCTCTTTTAATGAATTCTAAGGTTTCAGCCTCCCTTTAACGAGCTGATTTATATATCGCCTTGTGAATCGATCCTTCCCTAAAGATTCATAACAAGTTAGCACTACTTTATCAAGATCAATGTCAACGAGAAACAACATACAGCAGGATAAGAAAGATCATACATTCTTAATTTGAAAGGATCACATCATATCTAACCATGAAGGGGCGCAAACAGTTTTGAGAGGAAAGGGCTTCTAAGTAACATTTGGTATTATACTCTAGGACTGAATATTTTTCAAGAAATTAGAAAAATCATGAGCCCTTAACTCTACTACAATTAGTATTCTGTAATTATCTGATGTAATAGCCAAGTTGACAAAAAAGACTTTGTTGCTTATTTTCACCTTCACGAGGGATAACGAACCTCGATTCCACCTCGTACTCCAGCTTCCTCCACCGTCTCTGATGTCAAATGTTTCATCTTTTACCCAAATCCCTACCATAAAAAGAGAAATTTTTATTTAAAAGTAAAAACAGAGATTTCCCCAAATGTAACTATTAGTAAGTTCGTAGCCATGGATCAGCGGCTAGCAAGTTGCCAGATGTCACAGAATACTCGACCAGCTGTCACTTCAGCCCAGCACCCGGACCATGCATCCAATCCTGAGAGTTGTGCAAATGGGTGTTCCTTACTGTATCTTTGCAGCTCGACAGTCCCTTTTCTGTTGGCAGCGTCCACGACTCCAACGTAACTCAAGACCTTTATATACATCGATTTTTTCAGATAAAGATTGAAAAACATATTATAATACATGCTTGTGAACTACTCAATCTTGTGGCATAGTATAACATGCAAGGGCTGCTGCTGACTATATTTAATCACACAACGATGCTTCGTGTGACCTTATCCAACATTACATACTTGAGAAATTGGCAACTTCAAAATTTCCAGAGACTTCTTTCCCTCTCTCACTCACTTGCTCCCTCAAAGGTCAGATCAAATCATTAGTCAATGATGAAGCACAGAGCTCTACATACTATTATTATATGGTACTTCTACTATTAAAATTCTACTGAAACAAATTCCCAATGCAGGAACTTTTAGTAGAAAAATATTTAATGCTTTTATTTCCTACAGTTGTTTATTTTATAAAATGTTGCTTCATTCCCTCTATCCTAAATTGAAACTACATGTTTAACTTGGTATAAATATGAAAATGGATCCTGCTAAAGAGAAGTGTATTGCTCAAGTTAGAGAGCATGATACCTTTCAACAAGAAAATGTTTTAGTGCAGAAGTGTTAAACTGAATCGTCCCACCATTCGACAAAGAACTTGTGATTTTTCCTCAAACTCTTGCCCTTGCTTAACCAACATATGCCTGAAAACCCCACCAAAATCTTACTTCTTAGAGGAAAACTAGCTCCGTAACTAATCAACACATGGCTAAATTAAGCACTCACCCTTAATTGTTCCAGCACAAAACAAATATGATATTTACTGTAATTATTTAGGAGACAGCCTAGTCCTTCACATCGGAACTGTGAGTAAAGCAATCAAGTTAAATTCTTGACTTGTGAGCACTTCAAGGTAAGAACAGAGTTAAGATAGCATGATTCCAGGATCTGACTTGAGTATCGAAAGATTAAACTTGTTCACATCCTTTAACCATCCGTGGTTAATCATGGTTCATAACAAACAGAGACAGAATGGAGAATCAATTGACAAAAAGAGAGAGAACACAATTTCACAACCAGCTAGAAAAAGAAAACAAGTCATGTGGTATATTACCAATATTTAAGAGAAATTCCTGGGTTTGCACGAAAGAGCTGCAAAGTTTCTGAAGAGACTGGTGACTCTCCCACGAATATTAGAATGTCTCTTACAAGAGGAGCAGCTGGCTTCATTGTTCATGGAGTTCTCTGTTGGTTTATCATTATTTTTCCTTATTTGTAACAAGGCTTCGAGGTCTGGTTCATCTTTATACAACAAACGACATCCATACTCCTTCATTTTTCCAGAGAAAGATAATCTAACAATTCCATAGTCATTTGGTGTTTTTCCATTTGCCTTAGATGGATCCCATAATCTAGCAAGAGGTACCAAGAAAAAATGAATCTTAGGTTCTGTAATCCATTTTGAATGGTGGGATGATTTCACTTCCAGGGTCATCCACGATATGCCATCATCACACAAGGGAATCAATTGAGCTGTGATTTCAGTTAAGCAGCCAGAGTAACATACAGCAAATCCCACAAAGTTATCCGATACATACCAATTCTTAGGCAAATTGACTGATACACTTTTATCCATTCCCTGATGGTGGAACCATCTTGGGATCTTCTTCCCAGGATGCTCAATGGTAAACACTCTTAGTGACGAGGAATCTGAACCAGAGATGTCATGCTGCAAGGAAATGATATTCTGAGACAAGGAATCTGGAAATGAAATATACACCGAATTTAGATCCCTCATCACACTGTCTAGCATGTGAATCTCTGACTCCACTTGCATGCTTCCGATGATTTCTGGAAAAATTTCTAAACTAGAACACCCACACATACCCATATATTCAAGGGAATCAATGCACAGAACTGGAAACATCTTAAGCCTTTTACAATTAGTCAATTTTAATGTACAAAGCTTTTTGAGAAATCCCACGGAATGATCAACCTCTTCAAGATTCATACAATTTGACAGATTCAAAGTCTCCAAGTTTGGCATCCCCGTGAAATCTGGCAACTCTTTGAGCCTCTTGCACTGTGATAAATCCAAGGATAGAAGAGCACCAAGTTGGGTTATGCTTCGAGGCAAATGCTCAAAATTATTTTCACAGAGATACAACTCTTTCAAAGAGGATAAGCATCCAATGTCTTCCGGAAGTCCTCCATCTATTAGATTGCAGTGATTGAGATTCAAATGTTCCAATGAGTGTAACCCTTCATTCACTTGAGGGAACACAAAGCACACTCCATCTTTTGATTTATATTTTTTAAAACTTAAGAATTTAAGCTTGTTCAAGTGGACAATGGAAGAAGGAGGTCGTGAAATTAGAGTCCATGTGGCATCAAGCCACTCCAAGTTTTCTAAATCACCTATCTCTTCTGGCAAGCTTTCAAGTTTTGGGCAGTACGATACATTTAACTTCACCAAACCCTTCAACTTACAAATGTTGCTTGGAAAAGCTTCAAGGTTTATCATATAACTCAAATTTAGCTCTGTAAGACATGCTTGTTGTTGAATAATAGATGATGGTATTTCCCTTATCCCAGAGGGTCTCATGTAAATCTCTAACTCCGGCTTCATTCTTCCGAGCATTTCTGGAAACTTCTCTAAACTAGAGCAATCTCGTAGATCCAGATATTCAAGACATTCCACGTTAACACATGGAAACCTCTGAAGTCTTTCACAATCACTCAAATCTAACTGAATAAGTTTTCTAGAACATCCCAGGGAATCATGAACCTCTTCAA